GAGAGTGGGAAGAGCAGGAAGAAAGGCACGATGTGGCAGATTCCGAAGGGTGAAAAAGGCAGCTCACTTATCAGGAGAACAGGCTGGTCCCCGAGCCAGGCAGCAGGCAGCAGCACTGTGTGTGCCCACACCGCAGCGGTAGGGCGGTGCCTGAGAACAGGTGGTGACCCAGGACCAGGAAGCCTCTGCACCCAGGAGACAGCTGCAGCACCCACCCAAGAACACCTACTAGGCTCCCCCCGTCCCACCTGAGAAAGGCACTGGGAAATCATGGAATGTTACTCATGCTCAGATGGCCTGAAAGTTGGTAATATCAAGTATTGGTGAATGACAGGGAAGCAAAGAACAGCAGGAACACTTCTGACTTCTGGCGGGCAAACTTATCTCACCAGATACCAAGAATTATTTATTTAGCTACAATACTAAACACGGTGAGGTGCCTGCACAAGGATAGACAAACGGACAAATAAAACAGAAAGGAGCCCTGGAACAGAACCATTCTTAGAGGAAACAGAGAGAGGGCGCTTAAGTTCTGACTGTCTTCCCCTGGAGTTATTACTCCAGACCATAGAAAAACTTTTACCAATTCACCAAACAGTAACTGTGAAAACGTTCAGGCTACAATTTGCCAAATGATTCCCTGACTGACTGGGGACAGAGAAGCCCACTAAGTAAATGAAAAAGTAGCAATTATGACCTTGGAAATCCATAAACCTCAAAATTATGCTAAAATTTTTTGTACATATGCAAACCAAGGGTTTTTTTGTTTGTTTTTGAGACAGGGTTTCACTCTGTTGCCTGAGCTAGAGTGCAGAGGTGTCATCGTAGCCCACTGCAATCTCAAACTTCCCGGCTCAAGTGACCCTCCCACCTCCACAGGTGTGTACAACCATGCCTGGCTAATTTTTTCTACTATTTTGTGGACAGGGGGTCTTACTGTGTTGCTGAAGCTGGTCTGAAACTCCTGGCCTCAAGCGATCCTCCCCGCTCAGCCTCCCAAAGTGCTAGTATTACAAGCATGAGCCACCGTACCTGGCTTCAACCTAAATATTTTTATACTGGGAAGCTCGGCACGTCATCATCATGATCCTAAAGGAACACCAAAATCCTCCGGAAAGGGATGAAAGCCACTGTACTTAAATAAACAAATATAAAGGTACAACCCAATCGTTTCCAGTAGGTACTCATCAGGAGACGAAAGGAAGTCTGAGGTAAAACAAGAAAATAGGGACATTCACATTTTATGTGCTATTTAAACTGAAAAAAATTTTTTTTGATTTTGAAATAATTACAGACTCACAGGAAGTTGCAAAAATAATATAGAGGAGTCTTGTGTTACCTGGCTTTCACCAGTGGTAACACCTGACATAACTATGGCACAATATCAAAATCATAAAATTGACATTGGTACAATCGATAGACTTTAATCAGATTTTTCCAGTTTTTACATTTGTATATGTTTTTGCGTACATAGTTCTATGTCTACAGTTCTATGTAGTTCTATGTAGTTCATGTCACCACCATCGTATTAAGGATACAGAACTGTTCTATCACCTTATATAAAGGAATTTCCCCATATTGCCAGTTTACAGTCTCACACCAATCACTAATATGTTCTTGTTTAAACTTTTAAGAATATATTTTTAATATAGTCTGCATATCTGTGTAATAAAGAAATCCACAGGCAAAAAGGAAACACTCCAATGAAGGCTTTACAAATAAGTGGAGGGATGATTATTTAGTGCAGACCAGCGCTTCACTAATGCCAGCCTGAACTGATACATACATAACATCTGGGGAGCTTTGTAAAAATGTAAGTTTCTATTCTCCCTAGAGTATGATTCAGTGGATATAGGTGGAGAGCCAGATATCTATGCTTTCAAAAAGCTCCCCAGGCCGGGGGCGGTGGCTCACGCCTGTAATCCTAGCACTCTGGGAGGCCGAGG